CCCCTACTCAGTACCCTCGGCGGGGCTAACATGCCCTGGACTGCCCCAGGTCTTTGGCCCCACCTCTATACCTTCAGTCCCGCCCCCATGTTCATGGCACCGCCCCCTTTCCCCTGGACTGGGCTCAAGCCTTTGGCACTTGTCCTTGGCCCCGCCCCAAGATTCAGTCCGGCTCACATCCTGGGCCAGACCCCATCCACACACCCCCATCCAGCTAGCTTTTCATACCCCTCCAGGCTTCAGGGTCTCCACAGACCTGTCTTTTTAGCGGTCCCCTTCATGATCCGCTGGGTTCCAGGCCTGTCCAGCAGTCTTACAAGGCCTCGTCCCAATAATCCCCCAGCCCCACCCCAAGACCGTATCCTCAACATCCTGCCCACCCCCCACACTTCCCTATCACCACGTTCTGTAACCCGGTGTCCAAACACCCCCCCAACCAACATTTCCTTCATCATCCTCCAGCCTTGGACCTTAGCTTTGGGGCCTTGTTTAGGATGTGTCCACTTGGATACCAGGCCTGGGCACCCCTGGCCTGCTGCCATGACTGGGTCCCACAGTCCCATCCTCAGATCTTCCCTCACTTCCCGGGCCTTAGCTGGCTCTTGGAGCTCTGTGCTCCCAACCTGGTCCCCAGAACACCCACCCACCTCCTACTCCAACTTTATAGACTCTTTCCCAAAGGACAAGAGGGAGGGATGTCCCCGGTATCCCCAGTATTCTATCACACCTATAGACCCAGGTCCCTATCCTTACTTACCCTTGCCCCCAACTCAAGCCAACTCAACCTGACCCAACCCAACTTGGGACCTCAGTATCAGCCCACCAAGGAGACCCAACAACTGGCATTCATAATGACCACAAGGGGAGCAGACCCCACCCAGGCTGTACCCTTTCCACACAACTCCCTGTTGGCCAAAATTCTTCTCCTTAGCCCATCTAATCCCTGGGAGTCCCCTGGACCCAGTGGGGACCAAAGACCCCCATTCCCTTTCCTCGGCCTCCCTCAAGCTCAGTCAGAGCAGGCAGCTACCCAGCCTAGTTCCTGTCACTTGTCCCCAGCCAGAGGTTTATGTATCAGTGTCACCCCTCCTATCAATACCAGCCCCAAGGACTCCAACTTGCTCATCCAGGTCCACCTGAGGGATCATCAGTTCATCCAGACAGTGACCAGGCACCCACTCCACCTCCACTCCAGGGGGACCTTGGTCTCCTCAGGGAGACTCAGACCACCCTAATTACCCTTTTCCAGTGAGGTTGGATAGAGCCCTGTCTCAGATTCTAGAAAACAGGAGTCCAAGTGGGCCACAAGGCCTGGCTGAGAGACCCTGTGCAGAGGGGCCAGCGGGAGATGTGTCTGTTCTCCCCCTGACTGGGAACTGGAGCTCCTCTTTCTTTATCTCAGGAATCTTACTCCTACTCCCTGGCTAGAGAAATCGTCTGAGTCTCAAAAAAGGATGAGGTATGTGTGGCTACACTGAGGTTGGTGCCAGACCCAGACCTCAAGTCTGGGGCTTCCAGCTCTGGGGGCATTTCAAGAATTCCCCAGGAACCTCACAACCTGTTTCAGAGAGGCCTACTTGGGCGGGGGTGCCAGCACATGGCCACCATCTTGGATGCCCACAGACACACTCTGCTGGACCACAGCTCAAGGGTCTCCAGGCATCTCCTTGGCTTTGACCTTGGGCACATTGTCCCATTCCATTGGTGGCTTAGCAAAGAGGCTCCCCTGCTACGGCAGCTGCCCAGGGTGAGTCCAGAATGGGGAATCAGGCATGAGTTCTAGTCCCAACTGCCCAACATGTGTGCTGCAATTCCACACCCTAACAGAAGTGTTCATATCTCATCTAACAAGTGGCAGTAATTATACCTACTTCCCTACAGGACTGTGGGAAGATGGGATTATGCAAGTTCTGGGTGGCGTATTCTCCCTGCTATCAGGCATGATCAAGCATTTCCCAACCCCTCTTATGTCAGGTCTGGAGCTACAAGCTGGGTCTGTGGTGGAGGAGGCACTTTGTAGTAGCTTCAGAAGAAAGAGGCAGCTCTGGCTGAGGTCCACTTGGGCCATGTGTCATTTGCAGAGGCCCTCACCCTGACAGAAGAGGATAGGGTGTGGGGTGCACTCAGGAGATCAGTGGGGGCACCACATGGAGAAGCAAGGTGCACACAATACTGGAGGGTCCCAGGGTTCTAGTTATCATGGCTCCAGGGTGGCTCCAGAAGTCCCTGGGGTGGATGAGATCTTCAAGGAATATAGAGTTAAAGGGAGGTTTAGGATCCAGCTGTGGGACACCATGTAGCAAAGACAGAGAAGGAGCCCCCAGAAAGGACAGAGGGAAACATGGCACACAGAGTAGGCAGTTTGAGGGAGGCTCTGGAGGCAGGATCCCCTGAAGCCCATCAAGAGATGAATTGGAGGGAAGAGACAGAGGCAGTACAAGCCCAGATAACTCTAGGCGTGGCCACAGAGGGAGAGGACAGAAAGATGTCACTTGGGAAGGTAGGGCCAAGAGAGGCATGTTGTGGAGTTAGTTTATTTTTCTGTTTTACATTGCTTTCAAATAAGCTACATCTTGCCTTGCTTTCAAACAACAGAACGAACTCTGTCACACAGAGAGGGAATGAAAGGCTGTAGGAGCTTGGAAGGGAAACTCAGGCTGGAAGGCCAGCCTTGATTCGGCAAGACAGGACCTGGTGACTCCAGACCCCACAGCCACACCAGGGTCTCACCCCATTACCACCAGGGAAGGAAGGATTCCAGCCCTCAGTCCAAATGCCATTCTAGGGGTGCCACTGCCACATCATGACTATACACAGTGCCATGGTTTTACAGAAGGGGTGGAAGCTGTGTGGCCAGAAACAGATCAAGTGTATTTGACAGCTGGGAAGTCGTACCCAGCAGAGGCATGGATGAGAATTCAGGAATGGAATCACTGCTGGCACAAGGATCCCCATGGGCTGAGATCCAGAGGGGGTTAAGTAGAGGGAGGGGCAGGGTGGGTGAGTGGATGGATGAATAGTAGCTTCTCCAGGAACACTCACTGTCACCCCAGTTTAGTTCCACATACATCTTCCTGAGTCCCTTACAAGTGCCAGGTCTAGACTGTGAGCTGGCAGTATACATTGAATCAGAGATGCCTTGTGGCCAAGGCCTGTGTGATGGGGGCTTCAGACAGGGTGATGACAGATGCACTAAAGGATGAGTAGGACACAGTGGTGGAAGGTAATAGGAGGTCCTGGGGAGCCCAGAGAAGCCCTAAAGTAGATACCTGCACTTTTCAGTTTCCCACAATCCATCCCTCCATTTAGGAATCACCCAGACTGCCTGCTAAATATCCCCCAGTACATACTGTTCCCAAGAATAGGATCACCCAGGATATTGACCACATCCTCAGGCACCTTTCTGCAGGGTTCCAACCAGGGAGAGGTTAGCAAAAGTGATGTGTGTAGCATCTTGGTCTCGCCCTTCAGAAGGAAAGTGCCTCGCCCTTTCCTTCTGCCCAGGTGAGAATGAAGTCATGATATTAAATCAAGTTTGCACCATTCAGAAAAGGGCAAGACCCTAGAGACATCAGAGCACAAGATGGAAGGAGCCTGTGTCCTAACACTTATCAGTAATCAACTGTATGGTCAGATTTTATATGAAAAAGAAATTAATCTACCCTGTTTTTCCTCCTACTGTGGATTGTAGTCAAAGCCTTTGCACTGAGCTATATCCCCAGGCTCTTTTTATCTTTTATTTGAGATAGGGTCTTGCTAAGTTGCCTAGGTTGGCCTTGAACTTGTGATCCTCCTGCATCAGCCTGTTAAATAGCTGGCCTCCAAACCCATGCCACCAGTCAGTGGCTGCTAAACCTGTGCAGTACCCAACATTGGTACAACTTCCAATGTGCATTTCAGAGGACCAAGATGGAGCAACAGGCTCAAAGTCTGCTTCCAGGAATAGCTGGGGAGAGAGACCATCATCAAAGGATTCATTCCACTCCCTGGAACCAGAACTAAAAGTTTGTGCCTCCAGGACCTAAGAGCTCCTGCTTTTCCCCCTGGTGGAGTTTCCAACACAGCTACCCAATCCCTG